ATATATATATTTATAGGACCTCCCTTTACGCATTTGAGAGAACCCACCATGTAAGTAATTTTTTCCTTTTCTTTTATTCTAGACATTAATTATTGTGTCAGCATAAACTTTGTAATGATTGTTGTAAAATCTGCTTTTTATTTCAATCCTAAATTTGCTGCTGTGTGAGATATTGATCTCTTTTCACTGTATTTGTTTGAACGATATTTGATGCATTAAATGCCAAATTTAGTCACTTTTTCAAAATAATTCTGTGTAATTTCATTCTTTTTTCTTTTTTTAAATGTATCGATATTCAAGACCTGAAATCAGTGAGAAATTATGAATATTTGGTTCAAAATTAACCAACAGAAACAATTTGTAAACTAATAGAAAACACTTGTTTCCATGAAGGGAATGGGTTTATTGTGCTGTGAGTATAAGAAGGTTGTATTAGTATTTGTACATAAAAAGGTTGTCATACTATTTGTGTATAAATATTTTTTTATTTCAGAATGAGTTTTTTTGGGGACTTGTCTCCTAAAGACGATCCTGAGAGATATATACATACAGTTAGATATGTTTATAATCAATGCAAGAAATCACAGCGACCAGTGGTGGTTAATACAATGGGATGGAATAAAGGTAATTTATACAATCAATATTGTAGCAGTATGTATGTATGTATTTATGTGAAATAAAATATATAAATATTGCTCAATAAAATATAGTTTTAATGTTGTACTGAACAATAATATTGCATTTGTATATTTTCGTAAAGCAAGATTAAATATTTTTTCTTGGTGAATCACAAACACAATGTGCATTGCCTATCATGATTGCACTGAGTGGACCTGCTGCTGCTTTGTCTTTGAACTTGATTTGGTTCAGGATATATATTCACATATTTCTGTTCTCAGCAATGGGTTTGTCCTTATTACTGGATGTTATCAGAGTAATCAAGCCAACACATATTATACAATTTGATACAAATGTGACATCGAAAAATTTACCACTCTTGAATGATGAATATTTAAATGATAATGAAGGCTGGTGTATCCCGATGACTGCTGAAGATGATGCAGCAGAATTACTGGTTGCCAAGGTAACAGCAGATTATGGTTATAGGTATGTATTATATTATGCACCACTAGATGTGCAGAAACATGTACTTGGTTATAAATGTGTCTGGTGCATACACCAACAGAAAATAATATGTATGTTTATTACTTCATTTTCAAGAAAAGGCAATGCATGGTTTAGAGTAGGAATATCTTGAGAAAAGGAGAACCACATCAGGACAAATGATCTTGTCTTTGGCATAATACTGCCCTCATAAATCATAAATTGTTTAATTAATTAATTTTTTGTACTTTCTGTAGTATCACTCATAACACATACATCTTTGTACATTTCAGTGCTAAATTTAAAGCTTCCAATTTCCGAGACATGGCGTTACTGTCCTATCTAAGTCAGCTACAACCCGACGTAAATCAACATAAACGTCTACATCATTTAACTCCATATATGGTACCATGGAACTCAGTTGGTGTTCATACGACGCATTATCATGTCCCTCCAAGTCAAATTATGTATGCCCTTAATGCGTCAGTTGTTGCGCTTTGCACTGCCGACAAATCACAGGTAAGTGATGTGTCTGTGTGTTGTCTGGTGTGTTGTGTCTGTGTGTCTGTGTGTTGTCTGATGTGGTGCGGTGTGTCTGTGTGTTGTTGATTCATGAAATCAGCAATAACCTTTATTAGCTATCTGTAGAATGAATGAATCAAAAATTGATAGCCATCTTGATTTCAATGAAAACTAGAAACCAATGACAGATGAAGTGTATCAACATTTGAGACAATATTTTATTTGAGGTTCTGTTGTAACAATTGACTGTAACATTTGATGAATAAGGATATAAAACTGTATTACGTTTGAATTGTGTGAATAAATGTTGGTAAATATGACAAATGACATTGTGTGTTACACATATTCTTACGTAAATTACAGTGTCTATAGATGTGATTCAGGATACAACAAATGTGATTTTGGGTTTATATGTGCTTCTTGGTGGAGATGCGCTTGTAATAGAGCAAATACAGTAGCTGTTACTACAGTAATTTTATTTCTATTTATTTTTAGATGGTACATAAGAATGATACAAACGTTCCTTCTTTCTTTGAGTTCACTCCAATATCTAGATGTGTTGGTTTGGGTGAGTTAATCAGTACTTTGTTTTCTCTGATAAGAACATGCAGTGTTATATTGTTATATTTATTAGAAACAGGCAGAATCTTGGATCCTGAATCCATATTGTATGATATATAATATGGTATGATATGATATGATATGATATGATATGATATGATATGATATATTGATACGATACGATACGATACGATATGATACAATACGATAAGTATTATTGTGTACATGCAGGGGGCGCTGTGATATTACAGTGAAGGGCAGAAAGCTGTAACTTAGTTTATAAACATATTTATAGAAATTTGTAAATATAGAATCACCTTTATTCAAATTTAATAGTGTTTAGTAATTACTTAGCTCAGCATTGTTTACAGCCATAGTGTATGCACAGGCCTTCACGTGGTATAGCTACCACAACTGCCAACTTGAATTAAGTAATGAAGTAACTCATTAATATTTATAAGAATTCATGATGATATTACAGCCATTTTGATTTATAGAAATTATATGTAATAAACATTTATAATGTCCCCAGTTTTATGGCATTCACTGTATGCATGTTAAATGTATGCATATGGATTGCTTTTCTGATATTATTTTTTTTTTTTTTAAACTGTTTTTGTGCCCAGCGACAGTTCAGGACATTGAATGTCACTGTTGTCTCTCCTGGCTTTTTTTTTATGCGCAAATTGCAAGTGCTGACACATAGTGCATTTTCCCACAGAAGCCATATTCATGTTTAGGACTACATGACAGGGCTGTGTGGCCATCTCTGTATCAAATGGCAATTTAAATGTGCTATCCTGCCGTCAACCAGGCTCGGTCGAACACAGCACCTGCGGACCTTAACCAAGGTTCCCCTCTATTAGTAGGGAAGTCGCATTCATTAGTGAATAATATTATTTGCTATGGAGGTAAATGTTGTATCCTGGCATTGTTGTAACTGAACAGTGTGTATGTGTAGATTGCAAGATGTATTTTTTTCACTGAAATGACAAGTGATTACTATGTAATCAAAGTTATCTGTTATAATTTCAGCTTTTTGTGTTTTTAGCTTTAGGGTGAGCAGAAATGATTCTTTAGTGAGAATAATCTCAAGTGACTTTGTATTCAAACACATGATATATTTAACTCACTTTATTTTTGAGGTGCTACCGGTAGTTAATTCCCACTGTATTTTTTGTAGTACTTGTATACCATGACAAAAGGTCTTCTCAATTGATCAGTGTAAATTTTTCCCACATTTTCTTGTATCTTTCTATGATTTCTTTTTGGTATTTGGCCTAAATAAAAAAAATTATTAATAGAAAAATAATGCAGATTTATTTTATGAAAAGTATCTTGATGTTGGCATATATATTGTGCATTTAAGTTTGTGTTGGTATCATCTAGCTTCTTAGTACATAAGTTCTTTTGTGTATTTTTCAATTGTTTAATTTTTCATAGGTGTTATCAGAGGAATTGACCCCAAAAGGAAGTTGTTTTATATGTTGACTCCAGTGTCATCTGTGGAACTAGGTCATGTGACTACATTTTTGAAAGGTGATATGACTCTACCAAATGATGTACTGTTACAGGTATGAACAATATGTCCATAATGTACATCATAAAAAAATACAGTCTAGTAATACAGCTAGGTAATAGGGTTTATATAGTCTAGGGATTCTACTTTCTAACCTTCAATCAAAATGGGTTCCTGTTTTGAAATGAAAAGGTGTTAATTGTGATAAAGATTGTAATATACACGAGTATGCAAATATAATTCCTGAGTTGGATCTCTATTTCTATTCCCCTAATGGACATCTTTCTATTTGCTTGTGTGTTTACACATCTTTGCATTAAGACTAGTACAGCCCAAATATGGACAAATGCATAGTGGAGATCAATATGATTGTGTGCTCTCTGAGTGTATACATTTACTTTGCGATATGCCTTAGGATTATACGTCTTCCCAATCCAACCACTTGGTGTGAGAAGCCAAGAACTGAGCCAGTTAGTGAAAATGATTGAAACTTTCTCTGTATGAACTTTGAAAAACGTCGGCCATCTTGGAAATACATTTGTAACATGCAATTGTATCATATTTTGAATTTAAATATCCTATTAAGGTAGGCTTTACCCTTGATATAGATTTAGAGATTTGGTGACTAATACCATGGAGGTAAAAGACAGATACCTCCATGCTAATAGCATATTGAATAAAAGATTCTGCATAAATTGTCTACAACTGTGAATGACAAGACAACAACAAGCCCCACATACAGATACATTTGTATATGATAAATGTGTGAAATATTATTGTAAGGAAAGTTTTATTGTATTTTAAAAACACTCAGTGCAACCTGCCAATGCATCTCTATATTTTTATTTGACAGGAATCTTATGATACTGATGTACCATACGTCATATCAAAATTCTCTTACTCTGTTACTGGATCGGGTGCAGTGAAGATACGAAGAAATTTATTAAGGAAAACAAGTCAAGTTAAAAAATGAATAAAGTCGAATTCTTTAATGTGTAATATTAATTCACAAAATAATGTAAAAAAAAATGTTAATAATCACTTAACTTGAGGGGGGGGCATGCATATAAACATACATCAATCTACTATGTTTGAAAACAATTGAAGCAATGACTTCTATTCTATTCAACTAATTAGTCAACATTTGATTGTAGTCAACCAATAGAAACTGTATTTCTAAGGATGCAAAAAGATTTATTCTTATTAAATTAGTAATTGTTGATTCAAAAATGTAATGGGGACATTACTTTTAGAACTTTAATAATCCTGGTTTGCCACTGTCTCCCCCGCCCCCCACGCTTTTCCCCCAAATGTTATTATTAATATAAAATATTCAGAGTGGCCATTTTTCTAATGTAGATGAATTCTAAATTTACTCACTTAAAATATTTCATTTTCTCTTGAAATTAATTTTCACTGGAGGAATGAATTAATGAAAATAAAATTCAGTAAACCTTTTCCCCTATATTTTACATTCAACGTTCAGGTATATCCTTTCCAACATTGTAGCTGCAATAATGGCAGTTCCCATGGGATGTATTTAGGTAAATAAATAGGCAAGCAGGATCTTCTATACATGTAGCTAGACAGTAAATTGATTACTTATGTACAGTATTATGATTTTAGGGAAGTATACTCATCAGGGAATTAAACAAGGCTCACTCCACCCACTCACATGGGTTTCATTACCTGTACTGGTAATTCCATTTGATTGCTTGTCTAATCTTGCACTTCCACAACACTCATGGTCAGGCTCATTCATTGGTCAGCTTTGGTAGTGATATGTGGCGCCACCATAGGTACATTATTTAAAAACTTTTGTTTTTTTTTGTATGGCTGACATTTGAAATTTGATCTTTACATTGCCAGGGTCTGCTTAGGTAACTCCACTGAATCTACTGTTGAGGTCATAAGAAATATGCAGTTTTACACCGAGGCTGGTGATCCAAAAATATAGGACTGATAGGTTTGTTGTTTGCCCTTTTCCCTGCGTGGTACAGTTTGAACATACCGATTTGAGTCAAATATCCACTTGTGACATCAGGTCAAAGGTCAGCCAACTACATGTAGGCTCATTGTTGGAATGTAAATAAAAAAAAAAGATGTGTGGTAATATAGACCATAAACTGATGTCTGGGTGGACCACAGAGATCAAGTAGAGGTCAAATTTGTTAGCACGTGTCCATGTCACTATATATTCAATATCATATTTATCCTTCATTGATGTTCTTTCTCAACTTTTGAATTATTACCAGTCCGTAATCTATCCATGCAGATTGAATTGCCTAACCCCTAATATAAGGTCTCTAATGCTTTAAGACTAGTACAGAAATAAATAATTGCCATGTTTCACAGGTCACCATCAGATATAAAGAGTGAGTTGGAGGGTTTAGTGCTGCAACAAGATAACATATTTTATGAGTTGGGAAAATGTACTGAATTATAAATCACAGATTAACTGCACAAAAAGTAGTATAAAGGTGATGGAAGTTTTTTATGCATATCATGAATGTCATTATTGATTCAATTGAATTGCTTATGATTTAATTACCCCGTTAAAACTTTTGCATCAAAAAACACAAGTTTGTTGAACTCTTGCCAGGGCAAATATTTTATTACGGAAATAATGAAAACTTCAGTTGCTAAAGGGTGAAAAATATAATTTAAAAGGAGTTTTATGTTTGTTTCAATAGTTGAATGAACTTTTACACAGATACATGTATGTGAAGCTGTCCCATTAGATAATGATTAAATAGCCAAACATTTGTATACCTTGCTATTTTACCTCTGGATGTTTCCATGGCAACCAATTATTCAATTATCACTTCACAAGATAATTATGTCAAATCAGGTTTTTCATATTTCAAATAGTGCATAACATCACGTTTTGAATTATATACGTCTAATGAACTTGGTCACAAAATAATAATTTTGGCAAGACTTGAAATATTTTCTCAAGTCGTTGCAGACACAGTATTTGCTCTATTAGTAGCACATTAGCTTGTATGAATAACATGTGTCCAAAATAAATAATATTTGTTAGGATTCAGTAAACAAGAAATTTTCAATTTTAGTGAGCATCTATTTAAGATGCCCCTGTAATAGAGCAAATATGGTATGTACATGGTTTTGTATTTTTTCAGAATTCATTATTTTGATCAATGTACATGTATTTGAAGAAAGACAGCATACTTCATTGGCCTTGATGAATGATAGTGTAAATTTTCAAAATCTGGAAAGTTTTCATACCATCAGAATGGCACAACATGCAATTAAAGATGTTGCATTTGTCAAAGCCCTGTCTGGGAGTCTTGCTTTCTTGTCTCTTACCAACTTAACTCAGGTTATAAAATAAGAAATGCTTTAACTTTTCAGCTGTGCCAAGCTGTGTGTTGTAAGCAGCTGTTTCTGTCTCATCATCATTGCTGACTGGAGTTCAGTAACCAAACACTGAATCTACAGACTTGGGTTTCGCCCTGTTGCTATTGGTAACACCCTCCATCTGTCATCTTCTGAAGTGGTATGGAAAGCATCAAAAAATTGAATTCCCGTGGAATGCTGCATCAGGGCAAAAGAGAATTCCTTAGGATTAAGCATTATGTATTATGACAATTATATAACTGGCAATTTAAGTACAATACTGCTGTTTTGAGGAAAGATTTGAATGGAGGATGGGTGGTGGCTGTGTATGTCACATTTTATAAATAGTTGTTTATATTGTGGGTGATTTGAACTGGATGAAATAGTTTCATCAGGGGTTGATCATTAGAAACTATGGGGTGTAAATTTGGAGTAAAAATTAAAAAATATAACCTACGAACATTTGATAGAAGCATGAGAATTTACACCACCATCTTCATGAAAAAAATCTAAGTGACAGCAAATTTGTACATATTTATCTCCCCCCTAGAATTTCTTATGGTCATCTCGTTAGTGTGATTAATGTGATTAATTCATTCATACTTTACTATGATTTCATTTCTTTGCACACAAAAAAACTTCATTATCAATACGTATATACGGTAACACTATTGTGTTGTAAAAAAAACACTGCTATAACAAAAATCAATTCAACCCAGCCTACACTTAACAATAAACTTTGACATTATTAATTTTTGAATTGAACATAATCAAACGATAATTAATCTACATAATAAGAGCAAGAAATAAGACACAGTTTATTAACACTATTTACAGTGAACTGTGAAGAGATAACCTAAATGAAAGCCGAAGGTCATGTACTTGGTTAAATCACTCACCATGCTATCTTAATTCATAAACAGATCGCATTACTTACATTCTTATGCTGAATCTTTATCAGAGAACACACATTTTCAGACCTTTAAAAATGTTTCTCCAAGCAGTAAATGACCTTTTTGGTATAGTTACAACAATGATTGTCTATCATTATAAAATCAATTTGATTTTCTATATAGTATTTACATTCAGTTTGGTCAAGGGTCTGCATGTACTGAATAATTTGGTGCTTTATTTTATAGCATGGGGTACAGACATCATTCCAAACAAAGTCTATTTACCCCTCTGATTTGAACTTTGTTACCCTTTTATTTAAATCTCTAATTATTTGTATTTTTTACTATCACTTTGTAAATATTGTTGATTTACTTTCATTACCGGTACTTTCCCATTTTCTTTTAGTGGATTTTTAAACTATGTCAGCTCATTACCCTGACATCTTTGAGTGATTGCTCGGCAAGATATTGTATTAGTGTGAAACAACTTTTGCTGACATTCCACCTAAAAAAAAAAAATTATATATAGATTCAGTAATTTGAGTAAGAATAATATTTTTGGTTGAGGTTCAGGTATGACTGCATTTTCAATCACAGTAAAATGTTTATGGCACTGTAGACATTGTCAATGAATACAAATCATTAGAGATTTTTGTGGTGGCTATACACATGTTCAACATTATATCCTGTGAATAATTTGACACTAATTATTGCTTTATCTCAAATTAATTTTCATTGCAAATTAATTTTCATTGTACATCAAATGACTTTTTTTTAACCACAGTTTGTACCATTGTCTGTGCTGAAGTATTGTTTTTCTGTTATTGGCTTCATCGGTTCTAAGCAACATTAGTACTACTGTGAAATACTTGGCAAGAGTTCCTTTTGTACCCCCCATCCCTAACCCTAACTCTAACACTCACTCCTAGTTACCCAATTCATTTGTATATGCCCCCTCTAAATAACTATAGATGTCCTTAGGAGGGGCATGAACAATTAAATGGGGGGGGGGGGTTCTGGAGGGTAGGGTTAGGGATGGAGGGTACAAAAGAAACTCTTTCCAAATACTTTTATTTAGCTGGAATTATTTTTCACTGAAAAGTCTTCTTGGGTGTTTTGTACAGAGTTTAATTTCACTGATTTTGAATGAGTTGAATGTAAAACATAGGAAATAAGGCTGGATTTTTTTTCACTGAATCATCCCTTCAGCAAAAATAAATTACAAGTGAAAATTAAGTTTTGTACTGTATAAGAAGCACCAAACTTGATTATTTTTTGTTACAATTTCAACATGTATAGTTAAAATGGATTTTTTACTCATAAAAAAAGCATTCCCTTCATTTTTATAAATTTCACAACTCAAACTGAGATGAGAGGTTTCTATTGGCCAATTGAAGTACATTTGTTGCACTAAGTATAGTTACTTGTACATTTTCATTCATGGATTGGGTAAAGTTTTGTTTATGCAATTTCAGAAATGTTATTTGAAGTGTTGTCATGGCAACAATGTTAAAAAAGTAATCTATTTATCAGAATTTGTTGATAAAAGTAGTATACATATGTTGTACATATCCCCTCAACCTTCATATGTATGGTTATACTGGTGTTTACATCAACAAACAACGGCTCATTTTACTTCTGTAGACACTGACTTCCTTTTTGTTACCATGGTAACATGTCATCGTGCAGGAATATATTTATCTTCATTATACTTGCATTGGAAATTTGAATGAATAATAAGTTTGAGGTGGGAAAATTAATATCAAAAAAGTAACTATGGTGTTGGAGCTTTTCCAAATTTGAACTCATTGTTATTTCAAGAAATACTTCAGTCACATTGACCTCCCTTCAATGGCCAATCACATTCTAGCTTGTATAAACTCTTCTTCGACTGTGTGTAGTGCATTATGGTCAGAGATAGTTCCTGAAATACAGCTGTGGCGTGAACAATACTGTTTTGAAATTATTTGATATTTCATTGCTCTAGTGGATTACTATAACAGTTTTTTAATGAAGTTCTGTGCATGTGGAAAGGGGAAAGGCGACAGTCTATCGTTACCATAGAAACAGTGATGAGTTGTTCCATCCTTTTCATCACATGCAGTTTCACGTGATCCAAATAAATACATAAACCGTCATCTCTTATCAAGTCGTCCGGGATCCCGGAGTCAAATTCGTTATAGTTATTCGTCGCCGAAGTTTGGCACGGACGGTTGAAGTTGAATAAGATCTGAAAATAGCACTCAATTTTTATTGAATGAGGAAACGAAAGCAAAATTTCTTTGCATGTAACGAGTTGATGTAGTGAGAGTTGCACTGAAAGCGGGTGTAGGAAAGTGAAATTTGACTCCTCGTACATCCATGTGCGCATGTGAAGTCTCGGCTCATTTCGGGCGTGGACGCTCTTGGTGTCAACAGTGTGCTGTAATCTTTCACATATTTCTATTTCTGAAATAACGGTTCTGCAGTGGAATAATTTTAGAGAGTTTATAAGACGTAGCATTTGATTGTGTGAACCAAACTGGTGTTGTCTCCGATTAGGATTGACGTGTTGACTTAGAGTATTTCGTGCATCCATCTGATCTGACATTGGCTTGCCCGCCCTGTGAAGTCAGAGCGTCGCGCTGGAGAAAGAGAAGTGGTGTCGGGCAGTGAACTCTCCACTTCTTGAATGACAGCAAACAAAAACTGTGCATTATGAAGTTTGTACACATTATATCACTCCTCCTAGGGATATCATTGTTCCCTTTCATAGGTAAGATTTATTGATTTGTTGAGATATTTTTTGTGGTTGTAGAAAGTAACTTGTCAAAGCGTTTCGTTGTGACTGGTTACTGTTCACGGATAGCCGTGTTTAACAAGATGCGCACAGCATGCGGAGAAATCAGCTCTGAACAAAACATCGCTCGCCTTCCTTTCACTGTCATTTACATGAATGAACATTTTCTTACCTAAAGATAAAGTGACTGGCGATCCAAAACGTGATTACTAGAGATTGTAAATAAGCCGTTTTTGGCGGACAAAGGAAACGTTCACGAATCATTTGTTTTAATATAACTGTTTAACATTACTTGCAAAAAAAGTCTTACAAAATGCCCGAAGGAAAGGCGTGGATTTGTTTCTATTTGGTGTGTGTGGGAGGAAGGTTGCTTACAGTTGTTCAGCGCTATATTGTTGATTGGAAACTATTTAATTTTTAGTTTTGCATAAGTGCCAGTAGACTCATAAATATTATGCTGGTGAGGTCATAGACATTTGTAGAGAAGTACAAACACATGGTTCGAATTCGTCATATTTGCTGTTGTGCTAAGTTGTCATTGATCTGAAATATTACAGACTGTTTAAGTTTGTCACGTTTAGGGAATGCGCTGATCATGATTTCCTAATAAAAATGCTATATCATGTCAGAAGCAAAATGTGGAAAATACCAATAAATATATATAATTATTTTGAGACAAATAACATATTTTATTTGATATGTATATATGTAAATTGAGACTAAAATATCTGAAAAAACAGTACATTGCTTTAGATTAAACAAGTGATACTTGTTCAGATCATAATCCTGCTGGTCTTTGACCCATGACTTTCCTGTATCTGTTAAAGGGACTAATCATTTCTTAGTTTTGATGATGAAAATAAGATACACTACCTAGAATTTATACAAGACCTCTTGTATATAATGCAAAAAAATGCTTCAAAATTAATCCAGGGAGATTTAGCTCAGACAAGTGAATTGAGAGCACATTTCTTGCATTTGAAGATGTCACATTACCCATAATGCATAACTGAAAAAAGTGTGGGTCATGTAGGAATAGACTTTTTATGAGATTACTGTTATAAAGTTTTTACTCTACACTTTTATCTAAATGTTAACCTGTATTCTAGTCAAAATTTAGAATTAAGACCCCCCCCCCTCTATGCTTGCTGAAGATAAAAATGGATCTTGGAGCTCTGTCGTTTCAGTTGTGTATAAGATATTCTCATATCACTCAAACAATATAACCTAAAAAAATTGTAATTTAACTTGTATTAATTTTAAAAATCTTTTCTATGAGCTGGTTAATTGACAAACTGGAATTTAATTTCTTATCTCATAACTTGCCCACCAGTCAGTAAATCCATCTGAAAGTTGACCACACCCTGTTTAATAGCAAAGTTTCCATGCTGGGCTCTTTATAGCATGCTGGGATAGCTTTTATAAAATCACTCCTGCTTACATGAACACCTGGCAGATCCTGAGTGGAAATGTTTAAGATTTGTCAAGTTAAAACTGATTTGAATCACAACAAAGCTTAGTATCATATTTTCTCTATTAGAGGTGCATTTATTTTTTGGCTGATTTGAAAGTAAACCAATTTTATACTCGTAATCCATTTAAAAGAGTGCGTATTTTTATGAATATCTCATTTAATTGATCATTAGGATGTCATAATAAGACAGCAGAAGTAATTTTTTATAAATAATGCATTGCTTCCTGCTGCCATATTTTCATGAGCGAAGTAAATGAACATACAGTATGGATACATAGCGCATCACAAGTGATAATAACTTCCATACTGTGTAAATTCTGGGCGAGGCCATGGTGTTAGTTTATTATTATGTGTTCCTTGACTTGGCGAAAATGCTATGAGTGAGAGTGCAAGGGCAGTGATCTATTCAAAAGTTTGTCTATTTTATTCATATGCAAATACAGGCAGACGTGAACCAATTGCAGTGTTTGCCGTTGTATTCGTGAGGAAGATGTCGCCAGGCAAATGGAGCAAACAGAACAAAACAATTTATAATATATCTCGTGAAAATCATTTTGATATCAAAGAATAAATGGTCTTTTAAATGACACCAAAACTCTGAATCAAAAGAGTGATTGTCGCAGTGATTTTCAGAATTTTTTTTTTGCTTTTGATCTGGGTTTTTCAAAGCTGTATGATTTGCTTTAATGTGTTGGTCTATATAGAAACAAAAACTTTGATTTCTTGTTCATATTCTGGAAGATTAATCCTAGTCAAGACCTATCAGCCTGACCCTGGCATCGACTTTGTTTTCACTTTGAGTTGTATGCTTATTGACTCTGAGTACGCCTCAGTTTGAATTTGCTGTGAAAATCACCATATGCGATAATGCAACTTTGGAAGTCTTATTATTCAAATTACATAATCATAACATTTAACTAAGGGTCAAAAATGTATCTTTGCAGTTCAAGTTATCCAACAAATGCCAAGAAAACTCATCTTCAAACGGAACTACATGTATTTTATCACATTTGCATATCACCTGTAGACAATACCAATGTTATTCTATGGCAAATGACTGTGTGCACATGTAATGATAGTTGAATTTTATAATAAAAACAGTCTATTACTTGTATTATGCAGTAAACCTTTTTAAACTGAGCACTTGTGGAGGTATTCAGTTTAGGCTGAAAAAAAATATCTCTGTTTCTCGTTTCCGCGCACATTATTTTGAACTTATGCGCCTAGTACTTTTTTTTACTTCTAAAGCATTCCAAAATGCGCTTGTACTCGCCCTTGTCTCAAATTTCTCCCATTTTAGCCTAGTATTCAAAAAAAAAATAATCTCCTCCATGAAACGAGAAACAGAGGTTTTTTTTTTTAAATATTTTTAAAAAGTTTGACTAGATAATATGCAAGATTTAGACAGGATTTCAGTTTATATACCATTTAGGTTTATATTTAAAATGATGCAGATATTTTAAAAATCTGGTATTCTTTGCCCAGTTATTAAGAAATGTATGCTAGAGATGCAGTACAAAATAATTATTTGAATGGAAAAATGTCCAAAAACCTTTTAGCAATAAGTTTGCCTTCATGTAGTGATGCAAGTTGTTATCACAGATCTACCAGTGTATACATTGGTTTAAAAATCAGTGTTAATTGACCACACAGTTAGATGCTGATTGTCTTAATATTATTGTGGTAGATTCCTAATATAAACGAATCCTGTTGAGCCTGCAATGTCTTGATAATATGAAGGTCAGAATTCCATTGATGCAACATCCTAAATATTATTTAGTCCTTTGTACCACAGAACTTTGTTTCTTGATAATTCTTTGTCATGCCATTTTCAGTTTGAGATTTTCCCCAAGAAATCCATCAAAATGATTGGCATAGCTAAGAACAATGCAAATAGTTTTATTCGTGGTCATCACTCAATTTCAGGGTGTGCTTATGTAAACAGCATCTCATGGCATCGCATCTTGTGTTGAAGTAGGCCGTAAATAAGATTTCTTCTCCTTTCTCTAATCTGATATAAAACTGGTTGGGTGGAGATATTATCGGTATAAATGGTGGAATTTCTTACTGGATTATTGTGCTCACTTGTTAACGTTTTATCTGAGCCAATATGAATATTTAATGTTTCATCTCAACCAGAAACTTTGTTCAGGCCTCTATGGAGGGATGGATGGATGGATGGTTCTTGTACAATTGTTATTCAGTCATTTAGCAAGATGGCTTGCAACTTGGCAAAACATTTAGATTTTTGCCCAATGTATGTTTTTATATTAGACAAAGGTAATCCATAGTTACAATAATAATAATCTTTTATTATATCGTTATGAATGACAGTTCATCTTATGTTAAAGTAATAAAGTATTAAAGAGTAGAATATGAGACAATAAAGACAGCAAATCTATGAGTGAGTATTTTATTTTATACTAAATAAGGTTTTTTGCAATGAACTACCTGTCTGATTAGGTGCATGTCTTGAGTATTCATTATTGTAATGAACTTGTTTGTCTTAGAAAGGTATTAGAATGCATAAAGTGTTAGAACGAAAGGTAGTAATGTATTATTAGTCCCCGTTCGGACGAAGTCCGAGAACGGGGACTTATAATTCGGCCTCCGTCCGTGCAGAGTCATATCTCAGAATCCCTTGGACCGATTCCATTCATTCTTTGCATGTGCCTAGTACTTTATGTGGGACATATGCACATGCAGTGGTTTAGCGATTGGATTCAAAATGGCCGACTGGCAGCCTTCTTGTTTTTTGAAAACGTATCTTGGACGTGCTCTGTCAGTTTTCATTCAAATTTGGCACATACATGTGGTCATCTCTCTGTCAAATGGCAATTTTAATGCGCTATCCTGGCGTCAACCAGGCTCGGTCGGACCTTACCCAAGATTCCCCCAAAGTCGCATTCGTTAAGTGAATGAATCTCGGCCAGTGGAATTAGCCTTCTCATTGAGTCTGTGGCACACTCACCAAGGGTAGGGGTCGACCCTTTGATGTTTAGCCTAAGGTAGGATTTGAACTTGGGTCTACCGATCATGAGTTTGATCCGACAACCACTATGCTACCAGTGACCGGTATACATGTACTTTATACATGTTAGAATGCATGTCCATGACAATTTGTTTCAAAATCTGGTCAAGGATGGCCGATTGACAGCCATCTGACTTTTTGGCCTTACTACTATATTTCCACAATTTATTTACCATTTTCATTCGTATTTGGCACATACATCATACATATTGGTGTGTTTCATAATTTTGGCCATATTACTACTACACGGAACACATGTTTTGATGTAAATAAACAATCTGTTGAATACGCCACTTGGAACTCAAGTTTCAAGGACAGGCTCGCGACAACCCCTCTGCTTTAATATGACAAGAACAAAGAATTTAACTGGGACTGTGTCATTTTCAATGACTTGTTTTTATTAAATTTTCTGGATGCATTGCATTGCACTACCAGTCTACTGTGTATCAGATCAAAATTGTATACAGAGGTGGAAGGGTTCACGATGTTAGAAATTGATTTCTGTCTTTGTTTGTTTTTTTGCATGGATAAATAAAGCAGGTAATGAGTAATTATGCTATGAAAAGTTTGGGAACAACATTACACCGACTCAAACAATTGTTTTATAAGGACAACGGTATTTATTGTTTTTGACATTCTTATTTAGGCTGGACGGCTGAATTGGAAAAATCATACCTCAACTTTCAACTTTAAAGTAAACTATGCCCTCTTGCAAAAATGACAGCTGTGACCTAAAGGTTAAGTAATTTAAGTTCAAGTTGAAATCAGTCGTATTTATTCCTGAATAAATGTCACAAAATTGACTTGAAAATTTGGTGTTCTGCAGTAATATTTACTGTTTACTTTACCTACTACATTTGTATCTATCCCCCTCCCATGTGTAAACACCTAAGTCTAGATTTGTCTTAGTCCTGCATGTTTAGAGTTGTGTTAAGATGTAGTATACCTCACCAACTAAATATAATATCAATATTGTTGTAACAACATGAAAATGTAAATTGGGGAAATTGAGAGAAGTACAACAAACACAGTAGTTTATATTTAGCCAAACACCTTAGAATGAGGACTAGCACTTCATGGCTTATACAATGTAACTCAAAGAATTATATATGTGACATCTGGTGAACAACCCTCCACGATAAACAAATGACCAAGCTACGGTATCTTTCTGTGCTTTTGTATATTTCATGGAATTTAAAAAAAATTCAATATATGATCAGAATTTTTTTTATACAAATTTACTATCGATAGGCTTATGTGTATTAACACTGGGTTGTAAATTGTTGGCTATACGTGTACATACCTTCGAACTTAATATTTTTCACCTGTTTTTGAGGAAATAAAATATTGTTTGAAATATCATTGTTTATTCAAATCTTATCACAGGCACTTTCAAGAAAGCTGGCATGTTTTACTTTGCAATTCAACATTTCAAAAATGAAAATCTTGAGAGACCGAAAGTGTCTGACCTTACTTGTTTGAGAGTTTCATGTTTTTCTCCCAGTTTCTAAAAAATAAAACATCTGTTGTTCAAATTATTGTATTTTTAATTCCAAGTGGTATCATTTTCATGAGCATAACCATGTTTTAGTTTGGCAAGTAAATATTTTGAAATCATAATTCTGACACTTTTGAACTGAACATGAATGTGTGAGCTGGACTAGGACTGCCTGTAAGTACTATTGTTCATGTAATTATTTGTCTTAATAGTCGCTGTTTTCAAGAATGTTCACATGAATAAGTTTAGTAAATCTCCGAAACTGTCTTGAAACATTTGAAAATCACCCAGTATATGTCGGTAGCAGCTGACCAGATTTGTTTTTAATAGTCAAATTTTTTGCTTGTTGTTGAGAAACTAAATATTCTATTGTTCAAATTCTCACATGCATCTTGCTTGAAACATGCCATTTTCAAGAACATGGAGTTTTATGGTTTGTCAAGTCACCTTTTAAAAGAAGTAGTTCTGTAAATTTTAAACTGACTAACTCGTTAACGTATATCAGCATATTCATAACTGTCTCCTTGGTGATATCACAGTGAAAACTCACACATTTTGCATGATTTTTTGAGTTTTGTTGGCAGTGCAAATAAACAGATGTAGGATTAAAATTGTTTACTGGGTATTAGATTGGAAGGTTATTGGCAGATCATAACCCAGGTTAAAACAAGCAAAACAATTCTGTAGGTGTCTCTTTCTGACGTCTATAGTTCATCCTATCTTTGATCATCTATAGCAGCACAATTGACCTTAAGAACATACTTTGTTTGTGGACTTTTGTTTTTGTTGTAACTAAAGCCAAGTAAAAATGACTGTTCTATAGTTAAGTTTAATAGTTTAAATTCTACACAAAGTATATGTTTACCACCCTAACATCATTGCATGTCAGTGGTTGAATATGTGTAATAGATTATTAATTTTATTGTTTTGGCAATGTGAATAGAATAAGAAGGGCCAATCCAAATCACTCATTAGGAGAACAAGATAAAAAGGTCATGTACTAAAAATAGGATAATTTGCTGCTGGCAGCTGATTATTCCACCACTTCATACTACCATATGTTCAGTTGAAATAGTAAATAAGACGAATCTGTTGGATATCTTTGAATATTTCACAATATATTATTGAAGGTTGAATAAATAAGTCTGTGATCATGTATATTCTCATTGTTAACAAACTTATTTTGTTTGCTACATCCTTTTTGTAGTACTTACATTTATAAATATGTCAATGTCTTGAGTCATTTCTCATACATACATACATTAAGTTATTAAGTTTAAGCTTAATACAAAGACCAAGTAGAATGCACATAAATTTTCATTACCATTTGATCAAAAATTTTTGGTCCTCAAATTTGATAAAATCTTATAATTAAACGTGTCCATAACTGTTTCGAACATAAACAAGCCAATTTCTTTAAAACTTTGTACAAGGATCATGCATATTGAGTGGCAGGTGTATGTAATTTGTAGAATGTCACCTCATGGCTGTGCTGTCAATTGGATATGCACAATTTTGTTGAATCAAACTATTTTCTTGTCTGCTAGGTGGGCAGGCATTACTTGGTTGGACTGTATACCACAATGTACTTATAGGACAGTATGTGCTGTTTCAACTGTCAAGTTGCTTGTATTGGTGCATCCATTGGGACAAACTACTCCCTTATTTTGAAATTAGATTCAAGCATCTCAATTTTTATGAAGAATTTCCCAATTTGACGTTTTATGAATATAGGCAATCATATGCCTATCAACAACTCATAAAATGTTTTGTGACTAATATTCTTGTTATAATAGTGTGTAAACTAGCTCTAGTACGTGCTGTCTAGATACTACTTTTACACTGTCACCATGTCTGCTGAACAGCTGATCTGGCCATTTACACTGTTTACGATGACACAACAACTGAAAGGTCATGCTATTGCCTCGCGGCAAGTCATTTCCTTTGCTTGCTGTTAACTGTTATTTGAAAACAAAGTGTCTAACTGGGCTGTCAACTGCGAAGGTTTTCTCAGGGTCAGATTTGTTCATTTCGTGACTGTAGCGAAAGTCTGCATTCAAATATCAGGAATTGAATTTTAGTAAAAACTGCTGTTAACATCTTCTAGAAAACTACTATTCAGTGCTTTGATATTGCCATATGGTCGCAGTTGTTTACCAGTACATTTTGTTGCTGAAGATAAAATATAAGCTTTGTCCTCTAGCTACTGTTAGTAAATATGTATTAGTTCTATTAGTAGTGCATGTACTAACAGAGGTGTTTCTCTGGTAAAAATGCGTAATATTTTAATGATTCACTATACAGCAAATGTGATTTTTGGTTTAAAGTTTAGGCTTCTATTTGAGATGCATTTCTAATACAGCAAATAACAGTACATGTATGTCTTCAATTATTCTAATAAAACTGTACAAAATGACAGTCAGTCTCCAAAACAAAACAAGTACACCACAGTGCACAGTCATATCAGTATGAAAGAGATGTACATGATGTCAGGCATGTTCAAAAAAGGCAATAGCTTGACCGTTCAGTTATGTTGTAACCAGTGTAAATTAATGACCAGATTAGCTGTTCAGCAGACATGGTGACAGTGTGTAAGTAAGTGAGCACATCCTGCCCACATGTGCACCCACAATTATAATCAAATTGTTGCTATTTGAGTTCTACATCATCAGTGACATTGATGTCGTCTGAGATCATCTGTTTAACAGTATTATCATATGCCAACACCAAGCTCATTAAATTTTCCAAACTGACTATGTCAAACTAAAACCATAAAAAATATCCACCTACTGTAAAATACTTTATTTTAGCTGGAATTAATTTTCGCTGAAAAGACTTTTTGGGTGTTTTGTATGGAATTTATTTCACTGACTTTTGATGAGCTGAATGTAAAATATAGGAAAAAAAGTATATTCGCTGGATTTTATTTTCACTGAATTATTCCTTCAGCGAAAATAAATTCCAAGTGAAAATAAAGTATTTAACAGTAACAGGCTGCTTGTATTTCCTTCAAGATCCTCTTTAAACAAATTAAACATAGTAGACATAACAGTTAATGATGCAATGAAATACAATCCAGGAACTAGCTACTGAGATAAGAGGAAGTATTGAGAATGTCATGTATTAACTTGTATTACTAGTCCGGGTTACATGTTGTAGTTCATTGAGGCTTTGTACAATTATGCTAGTAGTTTTAACTTCCTCAAACTGTTACTCTGTTATAAAAATATGAAAATTTAGACCCTCCCAATGAATTATAAAGACAGTAAACATAGGATTTGTTATTGGATTCATATTTGTACTTGTGTTTTTTCTAGGAAATGCTGATGGTGAAACAACACCCTTAGTTTCTGTAGATAATACGGGGACACAAAACAGTCAGTTAAATACTGTTGGTGTAGAGTTATCTCCCTCTGTACGTTATGTGATGACAACACAACAACTTGCTGATGTACCTACTGAAGCTGAGCAGTCTACAGCAGCTGATCATACCGTGTTAACTCGTAACACAGTGAACCCTACCGTTGGTGATCAAACTGTACTTGGAACTCGCAACACAATGAGCCCTCCTGTTGGTTATCAGACTATGCTTGGAACTCGTAACACAATGAGCCCTACTTTTGGTGATCAGACTATACATGGGACTGATTCTCATTTGACTGCTGAGCAGACAAATGTAGACTCTGGTATTGCAGCAACTATCAATATTGTAAGTACTGTTCCAAGGGACAATACAACATCCCTATATACAAATACAAATAGAGGTGTAACTTCCACCAAGTATGCCCCAGTGACCCCAGATATCAATACAACCCAAGCTGCTGTAGTTACAACCGAGTCATCTATAATTAAAACAGTCCAGTCAGATGTAGATACAACCCAGTCAGCCATAAATACAACCCAGTCAGATGGAGATACAACCCAGTTGGGTGTTGATACAACCCAGTCAGCCATAAATACAACCCAGTTGGTTGTTGATACAACCCAGTCAGCCATAAATACAACCCAGTTGGCTGCAGGTACAACCCAGTCAGCCACAAATACAACCCAGTCGGCTGCAGATACAATGCAGTCAGCCATAAATACAACCCAGTTGGCTGCAGATACCACCCAGTTGGCTGCAGATACAACCCAGTCAGCCATAAATACAACCCAGTTGGCTGCAGATAGCACCCAGTTGGCTACAGATACAACCCAGTCAGCCATAAATACAACCCAGTTGGCTGCAGATACAACCCAGTCAGCCATAAATACAACCCTAGCAGCTATAGTTGCATCTCAATTTCCTAAAACAACAATCCAGGCAATTGTAGATAGAAGCCAGTTACCCATCAATACAACCCAAGTAGCTGTAATTACAACTAAAACACCAGTAAATACAACCCAGTCACACATAGATATACCCCAGACAGCTGTAGATACAACACAAGCATCTGTAAATACAACACAAGTAGCTGTGGATACAACACAAACAGCTGTAAATACAACACAAGCAGCTGCAGATACAACCCATGCCAACAATGGTCTGACTGTGTCAGATGTAGTACCTGATACAACCAAGGCAGCCCAAGGCACAATCACAGAGGGAGCAAAGAAAACTTCAATAATCCCAGAAGCACAGAGTACAGCCACCCCTGAGTCATCGCAAAAATTTGCATCAACTTCCCAAACTACACAAAAATCAACCAAAGATATTTTAACTCCAAGTCCAACCCAGGAAGTAAGTGTTACTTATTTTGCAGTCATTGCTTTGTCCTTTCCATAACAATTAACTAACCAGCTTATAACTAACATGATGGTAAGTGATATATAGAATACCGGTAGTGTAGTTTTAATAATGCTTAGCTATACTAAACAATGCAAATAACAAACTGTAAGCTGGACGGAGGGTAACATTTATGTCATAGTCAATGTTAACAAGATGGTTCAGGACTGTGTAGAATTGTCTGCTGTCATCATATTTTACAATATCAGCCTTTACTGGGTAATCTGAGAAGTCTTTATGACAAATATCAATAATTCATAATAGATAAAAGCAGTTTTAAAAACAATGGAGACCGACAGTAATTCTTAGAAAATATGAATGCGTAAAACATAAACCCAATTTGGATTTCTCCAACTTCTATAAGGCATGCCTAGGCCAATTTTAATAAAACTTGACATTGACATCACTGATGAAGATTATTTTAATTTGCATATTGATCCAAAGTGGCCAACAGGCAGCCATTTTGTTTATAAACTGGTTTGAAACAGGGTTTTGGCGTTCTCTTCTTCTGTACATCTGTTTGTCTTTTCCTTCAAAGACAAGTTGTAATGAGATACATATGCACATTGATTTATTTTTTGTTAGCTCCGCTGTCGACTTTGTCGAGCGGAGTTTATCATATGAGTGATTGTCTGTCGTCGTCGTCCGTGTCAATGTTTTACTTTTTCGACTTCTTTTTGAAAACTACAAGCCTGAATGCTTTGATACTTGGTGTATATTTACCTTGGGTAGACCTCTTTTAGGTTTGTTCATTTCATGTGTTGATATCTTCAATTCTCTAATTTTGGTGAATATTTTTGTCATTTTTGGTAAAAAATGATATTTTTGACTTCTTGTTAAAAACTGCAAGTCCAATTGCTTTTGATACTAGATATATAGGTACTAAATGTGGACCTCTCTCAGATTTGTTCATTTCGTGATGATATCTTCAATTCTCTAATTTTGGTGAATATTTTTGTCATTTTTGGTAAAAAGTGATATTTTCGACTTCTTGTTAAAAACTGTAAGTCCGATTGCTTTGATATTACATATATAGGTACTACATGTGGACCTTTCTCAGATTTGTTCATTTCGTGATGATATCTTCGATTCTCTAATTTTGGTGAATATTTTTGTCATTTTTGGTAGAAAGTGATATTTTCGACTTCTTGTTAAAAACTGTAAGTCAGATTGCTTTGATACTATACATATTGTTCATTTTCTAATGATGTCTTTAGTTCTTTAATTGAAATGTGCATTACTAACAGCAGAGCTTTCTCAGCCGATAGGCTGCTTGTTTTGTAAACCTTTGATTGACTGGAGACCATTTTTGTTCCCAACATTTTTTCAGTCATACCTGGGCCAATTTCATTCAAACTTAGTTTGGTTTGGTTTCATTTTGTATCAGCAATTTTGTCAAATTTTCTGCTCATTTCTCTAAAACACTATAGCAGATTATGTTTAAATACAATACAATACAATACAATACAAAGGCAAAACAGTGGGTTGCATGTTCTTTTCAGTTATTTTTGGATTTCATTGTAATTAAACCAATTGGTGGCGATTTTCACCATAATGAACTAAAATCACATAGTTTTAATGTCATCAACTATTTCTCATGCATTCTTCAGCATGCACATCTCACATGATGGGTTACTAATGCATGTCAGTTTGTTTTTGAGATTTGATTCAAAATGGCCGACTGATGGCCATGTTATTTTTGACCATTTTTCTCTACCTTGATGAATTTGTTCAAGACATACCGGTACTTGTATTTTGCATCTTCAAATGTTAATTCTGCAAAATATAGGGACAATGTTTTCTTTTCTTGAAATTTGCATGCACTGCATGATTAATATGATGTTTTTAATAATTAAATACTTGAATTAAATATTGAACTGCCTCATTAATTCTGATTGTACTTTTGTTTCAAAATGACAGTAAATTAATTATAGGCATAATTCTGTTTGAATAGATATTGGTACCTCCAAGTATTGACAAAGATGATCTAACAACAGAGCAGAAAGAAGGTACAGTTACTGTTGGATTAGAAACTACAGTGAGTACAGTGTTTAGTTATTTTACACAGTAAAATTGAGATGGTTCTTCATGTGTCCCCATGACAGAGGTGTGTAAATTGGGCTTAGTTCAATGATCCACCATAAAATAAATACAATTTTGGGTTTATTTCAAATGTCATGCATAGACGGATTTTGTTCAAACTTTGTAAATGCATTGAATTTTTCGTTTTTATTGAATACAGTTCCAGAGCCATATCCCTGATGTGCTCTGTCTGTTCATATTCAAACTCTCAGGGAGTATATAATGCAATTACTTTTTAGCTCCACTGTTGACTTGCGTTGAGCTCATTAGTTCCTGTTTCAGGCATAGCCTGAAAGGCGGCCTATTAATTCTTATTTCCGCTTTCTGTCTGTGACGTCTCTAACATTTTCTCAGAAATTCTGCAGCAGATATCGATGAAACTTGGCAGGTTGATGAATAAGTCTCTGCCAAATATGCAGATCTGAAAATCCTAAGTTGGTCTTTTTGACTCCAGTGACCCTGTCTGTATGTATGTATGTATGTACATTGTATGTATGCATGTCACTTTTTTTGTTCCACCGTTATCTCAAGAACCACTAATCAAATTTTGGTGAAACTTGGTACATAGATGCTCTGGGATAATTCGCAGAGTTGATTAGGTTTTGGTAAAAATCTATGAATATTAATTACCTAATTTGCATGATAATTAACTGATTTTAAACTGTTCTATGACAGTTCCACACTGATATTTGAATAACCACTCGTTGGATTTTGATGAAACTTGGCACATGGATGCTCTGAACTAATGCGCAGATTTGATTAGTTTTGGGTAAAAATCTGTTTATATTACATGTAATTACCTAATTTGCATAATGATTAATCAATTTTTGGCTTTTCCACTGATATCTCAAGTACTAATCATAACATTTCATAAAACTTAGTACATAGATGTCATATGACACTGCACAGACCTGATAGTTTTTTTGGGTATATCAGTACATAGTAATTACCTAATTTGCATAATTAATTA